ATGTTATTACCTAACAGGCTCTAACATGACTACAGGAGGTTGTGTTATTACCTAACAGGCTCTAACATGACTACAGGAGGCTGTGTTATTACCTAACAGGCTCTAACATGACTACAGGAGGCTGTGTTATTACCTAACAGGCTCTAACATGACTACAGGAGGTTGTGTTGTTACCTAACAGACTCTAACATGACTACAGGAGGTTGTGTTGTTACCTAACAGGCTCTAACATGACTACAGGAGGCTGTGTTATTACCTAACAGACTCTAACATGACTACAGGAGGTTGTGTTGTTACCTAACAGGCTCTAACATGACTACAGGAGGCTGTGTTATTACCTAACAGACTCTAACATGACTACAGGAGGTTGTGTTGTTACCTAACAGACTCTAACATGACTACAGGAGGCTGTGTTATTACCTAACAGGCTCTAACATGACTACAGGAGGCTGTGTTATTACCTAACAGACTCTAACATGACTACAGGAGGCTGTGTTATTACCTGACAGGCTCTAACATGACTACAGGAGGCTGTATTATTACCTGACAGGCTCTAACATGACTACAGGAGGCTGTGTTATTACCTGACAGGCTCTAACATGACTACAGGAGGCTGTGTTATTACCTAACAGGCTCTAACATGACTACAGGAGGTTGTGTTATTACCTAATAGGCTCTAACATGACTACAGGAGGTTGTGTTATTACCTAACAGGCTCTAACATGACTACAGGAGGCTGTGTTATTACCTAACAGGCTCTAACATGACTACAGGAGGCTGTGTTATTACCTAACAGGCTCTAACATGACTACAGGAGGCTGTGTTATTACCTAACAGGCTCTAACATGACTACAGGAGGCTGTGTTATTACCTAACAGGCTCTACATGACTACAGGAGGCTGTGTTATTACCTAACAGGCTCTACATGACTACAGGAGGTTGTGTTATTACCTAACAGGCTCTAACCTGACTACAGGAGGCTGTGTTATTACCTAACAGGCTCTAACATGACTACAGGAGGTTGTGTGTTACCTAACAGACTCTAACATGACTACAGGAGGCTGTGTTATTACCTAACAGGCTCTAACATGACTACAGGAGGCTGTGTTATTACCCTAACAGGCTCTAACATGACTACAGGAGGCTGGTGTTATTACCTAACAGGCTCTAACATGACTACAGGAGGCGTGTGTTATTACCTAACAGGCTCTCTAACATGACTACAGGAGGTTGTGTTATTACCTAACAGGCTCTAACATGACTACAGGAGGTTGTGTTATTACCTAACAGGCTCTAACATGACTACAGGAGGCTATGTTATTACCTAACAGGCTCTAACATGACTACAGGAGGCTGGTGTTATTACCTAACAGGCTCTAACATGACTACAGGAGGCTGTGTTATTACCTTAACAGGCTCTAACATGACTACAGGAGGCTGTGTTATTACCTAACGGCTCTAACATGACTACAGGAGGCTGTGTTATTACCTAACAGGCTCTAACATGACTACAGGAGGCTTGTGTTATTACCTAACAGGCTCTAACATGACTACAGGAGGTTGTTTTTACCTAACAGGCTCTAACATGACTACAGGAGGCTGTGTTATTACCTAACAGGCTCTAACAGACTACAGGAGGTTGTGTTATTACCTAAACAGGCTCTAACATGACTAACAGGAGGTGTATGTTATTACCTAACAGGTCTCTAACATGACTACAGGAGGCTGTGTTATTACCTAAACAGGCTCTAACATGACTACAGGAGGTGTGTTATTACCTAACAGGCTCTAACATGACTACAGGAGGCTGTATGTTATTACCTAACAGGCTCTAACATGACTACAGGAGGCTGTGTTATTACCTAACAGGCTCTAACATGACTACAGGAGGCTGTGTTATTACCTAACAGGCTCTAACATGACTACAGGAGGCTGTGTTATTACCTAACAGGCTCTAACATGACTACAGGAGGCTGTGTTATTACCTAACAGGCTCTAACATGACTACAGGAGGTTGTGTTATTACCTAACATGACTATTTAAGTTTCCAGTTTGACTGACATGTCTAATGAACACATCGGAGATCTGTTATTGGAAATTATCTGTCTAGACTAAGGAGATAAACAGCCGAACACATAATATAAATTTTATATTTTATTTTATTTTATTTCACCTTTATTTAACCAGGTAAGCCAGTTGAGAACAAGTTCTCATTTACAACTGCCACCTGGCCAAGATAAAGCAAAGCAGTGCGATAAAAACAACAACACAGTTACATATGGGGTAAACAAAACATAAAGTCAAAAATACAACAGAAAATATATATACAGTGTGTGCTGTGCGAATGTAGTAAATTATGGAGGTAAGGCAATAAATAGGCCATAGTGCAAAATAGTTACAATTTCGTATTAACACTGGAATGATAGATGTGCAAAAGATGATGTGCAAATAGAGATACTGGGGTGCAAATTAGCTAAATAAATAACAATATGGGGATGACGTAGTGGGGTGGGCTAATTTCAGAATGGCTGTGTACAGGTGCAGTGATCGGTAAGCTGCTCTGACAACTGGCGCCTAAAGTTACTGAGGGAGAAGAGTCTCCAGCTTCAGAGAATTTTGCAGTTCGTTCCAGTCATTGGCAGCAGAGAACTGGAAGGAATGGTGGCCAAAGGAGGTGTTGGCTTTGGGGATGACCAGTGAGATATACCTGCTGGAGCGCAGACTATGGGTGGGTGTTGCTATGGTGACCAGTGAGCTAAGATAAGACGGGGATTTGCCTAGCAGTGATTTATAGATGACCTGGAGCCAGTGGGTTTGGCGACGAATATGTAGTGAGGGCTAGCCAACAAGAGCGTACAGGTCACAATGGTGGGTAGTATATGGGGCTTTGGTGACAAAACGTATGGCACTGTGATAGACTACATCCAATTTGCTGAGTAGAGTGTTGGAGGCTATTTTGTAAATGACATCGCCGAAGTCAAGGATCGGTAGGATAGTCAGTTTTACGAGGGCATGTTTGGCAGCATGAGTGAAGGAGGCTTTGTTGCGAAATAGGATGCCGATTCTAGATCTAACTTTTGATTGGAGATGCTTAATGTGAGTCTGGAAGGAGAGTTTACAGTCTAACCAGACACCTAGGTATTTGTAGTTGTCCACATACTCTAGGTCAGACCCAAGCAGCGTTCGGTTGAAGAGCATGCATTTAGTTATACTAGTGTTTAAGAGCAGTTGGAGGCTACGGAAGGAGTGTTGTATGGCGTTGAAGCTCGTTTGAAGGTTTGTAAACACAGTGTCCAATGAAGGGCCAGATGTATACAAAATGGTGTCGTCCGCATAGAGGTGGATCCGAGCGTCACCCCCATAGAGACTGGTGAGAACAGCCGAACACATAATAGAACGGTGAGAACAGCTGGACACATAATAGAACGGTGAGAACAGCTGAACACATAATACAATGGTGAGAACAGCCAAACACATAATAGAACGGTGAGAACAGCTGGATACATAATAGAACGGTGAGAACAGCCGGACACATAACAGAATGGCGAGAACAGCCGGACACATAATAGAACGGTGAGAACAGCCGGACACATAACAGAATGACGAGAACAGCCAAACACATAATAGAACGGTGAGAACAGCCGAACACATTTGATCAAAGGTGCTTGGAGATTTAACACTGAATATCCTGTACTTCACCACTCCACTGTCCATTCCACTATCTATTTAGACATCTTCTACTGAACATGTTTCACTCCATGCCCTGTATACGTCCCAAATGGCACCCTATCCCCTACTTCTGACCAGAGCCCATTGGAACACACTCCTAGTCTCATTTGGGAGTTTCTCCATATGCTGGGTAGACTAGGTAGTGAACCCACTTCTCCCTCTGGTTGAGGATGCGTAGGGGGAATATAATTCTGTGTAAATGTCTAAAGTCTTCACGTCAGTTATGACATGCTGCTGGAACAAGGAGATCAATTATAGATGATTAAACAAGAGGTGGATTCTGAGAAGTCTCTCCTGTCTGTCTGATGCAGTCAATTAATCCCAATAAAACGAAAGTATAAAAGAAAGCAGCTGCTGTCGGTCTGTCTGTCTGTGGTCCTGCCTGCCTGCCTGCCTGCCTGTCTGCCTGCCTGCCTGCCTGCCTGCCTGCCTGCCTGTCTGTCTGTCTGTCTGTCTGTCTCTGTCTGTCTCTGTCTTTCTGTCTGTCTCTCTCTCTCTCTCTCTCTCTCTCCTCTCTCTCTCTCTCTCTCTCTCTCTCTGTCTGTCTGTCTGTCTGTCTGTCTGTCTGTCTGTCTGTCTGTCTGTCTGTCTGTCTGTCTGTCTGTCTGTCTGTCTGTCTGTCTGTCTCTCTCTCTGTCTGGTGGGATAAATTCATCTGAAGACCTTTCTGCGATGGGCCTAAGCGCACAAACACACAAACACACACTGATGTGACGATGCATACAAAACAAACGAACACACACATGCACACGAACACACACACGCACACGAACACACACACACGAACACACACACACACACACATACACACACACACACACACACAGACACACACAGACACACAGACACACACACAGACACGGTTATACACACACAGTGGCATACTGTCAATCAAAGCAGGTCATAAATAGAGGGCTTTTGTCCATCAGGTCTAATTGTCTCCCCTGCTGCCTGCTGCTCTCTCTACCTTTCAATCATCCCTGCCTCCCAACACACCCACACCCACACACACACACACACACACACACACACACACACACACACACACACACACACCCTGCTTCCTGCTGCTCTGCCTGCATCTCTCTATCCTTCAATCATCCCTGCATGCCTGCTGCAGAGTCAACACTCACAGCCTGAATAAGAACAGCCTGAATAAGAACAGCCTTGATCAGTGTGAGCACTGAGTATCAGACAGCTGTACGTAGGTTCATCAGTAATTCTGCTCAAACACCAGACGGGGAGGATTGATAAACCATCGTAGTTATTGAACCTATCCTAAAGCTACCCACAGCAGCTCTCCAGTGAAAAGTGAAGGATATTGCTTCTGCAGTTCAGTGTTCAGACAAACAGGTAGATCTACGTCATACCACGGTTCAAATACAAAGAGGGAAAGAGGGGGTTTAAACTGGTATTTCAACCTTAGTCTAGTACAGTACGTACACACACACACACACACACACAAGTACACCCCCCCCCCCCCACACACACACACACAAATGACCTGCCTCCCCACCCCATACCTCCCAGCCCTCTCACACAAAATAACATTAGGTACATATAGATAAAGCTGAATTTACATGCGACTGCTGGCGGGTATCTTGCGTCCGTCCCTGAACCAGGTAATCTGTGGTCGTGGGAAGCTGTGGATGCGTGGAGCCTGGATTAGAGCAGCCTCTCCCTGGGACACAGTCTGGGAACGCTCCCCCTCCACAAAATCACCCATATCTGGGGGAGGAGGGAGAGGGGGGAGGGAGGGAGAGGGGGGTGGGATAAGGGGGAGGTAGAGAGAGGGGGAGGAGAGAGGGGAAGAGGTAGGGAAGAGAGAAGGAAAGCGGGAGAGAGGGATAGAAAGTCATCAGGAAAGAACGTGAGAAATAAATAGAGAGAGAGAAAGCGAGAGAGAGTGAGAGATATATATCAACGAATTGGCGAGGGCACTAGAACAGTCTGCAGCACCCGGCCTCACTCTACTACATTTACATTTACATTTTAGTCATTTAGCAGACGCTCTTATCCAGAGCGACTTACAGTTAGTGAACACATTTTTTTTTTTTTTATACTGGCCCCCCGTGGGAAACGAACCCACAACCCTGGCGTTGCAAACGCCATGCTCTATCAACTGAGCTACATCCCTGCCGGCCATTCCCTCCCCTACCCTGGACGACGCTGGGCCAATTGTGCGCCGCCCCATGGGTCTCCCGGTCGCGGCCGGCTGCGACAGAGCCTGGATTCGAACCAGGATCTCTAGTGGCACAGTTTGCACTGCGATGCAGTGCCTTAGACCACTGCGCCACTCAGGAGTTTGGGCTTAAACAACTTCATTCATCTATTGTGTTCCTACAAGAAACTCACTTGTTGAAGGATGAGCTACTTAAAGTATGCAGGAGATGACAAGGGCAAGTAGTAGCATCCTGTTTCTCCTCTCATTCTCATGGTGTTATGGTTTTAATTCACTAATCTGTTCAGTTTCAAGTGGATACTATTATAACTGATACAGCTGGTAGATACATTTTGATACAGGGAACTCTTTTGAATGAGCATATTAATCTGGTTAATGTTTATGGTCCTAATGATGATAATCCCAAATTATTTGAGAATGTATTTCTATTGATAGCCTCCATTCCTGGTAAAGTCCTAATGGCAGGGGACTTTAATTGCACTCTTGATCCTCATCTAGATCGCTCCTCTGGTTTAGACACTTCCCACTCGCAGAGTAGAAAGAAATTACAGCATTTAATTCAGGACTTAAATCTATGTGAACCTTGGAGGACTCAGAACCCGAGTAAAAGGGAGAATTCATGTTACTCGTCAACATTTAAATCATATTCTCATGTAGACTACTTTTTAGTTTCTTGCTTATTGCTTCCCAATGTAGCAGGAAGTGGATATGATACTATTGTTTTGAATGACCATTCCCCTGTGTCATTATTCTATAGGGATACAAAACTAGTAAAAGGATCCTCTAGAAGGCGTTTGCATCCCAGATGGTTAAAGGACCCAGACTTCTTACATTACGTTGGAGTGCATATAGATGTTTATTTGACATTGAACACTGACCAAACTTCAGCGAGTACCAGATGAGAGGCTTTCAAAGCACATATTTGGGGGCAAATTATACGTTTTACCAGTTTCAAATAAAATAAATCCGAAAATGAGAGCGATGGACAGCAAAATCAGAGAATTGGAGAGAAGCTTTTTTGGATAACTCAGTCGAAGTAAACAAGGAATGATTTGGTCTTAAAGTTCAGTATGAAGAACTTCCCACCTCAAAGGCTGCAAACAGCTTAACTAGGCTGAAACAGTCCTATGATCAAGGTGAAAAACCTGGTAAATTGCTGGCCTGGCACATTAAGAAGTAAAATTCAGCCTTTAATGCAATTCATAATTTACAAGGACAATTATCAATGGATCCTGTAGAAATGAACCAAACATTTGCTTCCTACTACAACACACTTTACAACTCTGAATCTCCTGAGAACTGAACTAGTCAGGTCTTGATTTTCCCTCTACTTCAGAAGACACTAAATTGGATCTGGAAAAGGAATTGGATAGTGGTACTAGAATCTGAAGTCAAACGTCTACTGTTTGCTGATGATCTGGTGCTTCTGTCCCCAACCAAGGAGGGCCTACAGCAGCACCTAGATCTTCTGCACAGATTCTGTCAGACCTGGGCCCTGACAGTTAATCTCAGTAAGACAAAAATAATGGTGTTCCAAAAAAGGTCCAGTTGCCAGGACCTAAATACAAATTCCATCTAGACACCGTTGCCCTAGAGCACACAAGAAACGATACATACCTCGGCTTAAACATCAGCGCCACAGGTAATTTCCACAAAGGGCCTTCTATGCCATCAAAAGGAACATAAAATTCGACATACCAATTAGGATCTGGCTAAAAATACTTGAATCAGTTATAGAACCCATTGATCACCAACCAAGAATTCACAAAATGGGACAAACACCAAATTGAAACTCTGCATACAGAATTCTACAAAAAATATCCTCCGTGTACAACGTAAAACACCAAATAATGCATGCAGAGCAGAATTAGGCCGATACCCACTAATGATCAAAATCCAGAAAAGAGCTGTTAAATTCTACAACCACCTAAAAGGAAGCAATTCCCAAACCTTCCATAACAAAGCCATTCCCTACAGAGAGATGAACACTGAGAAGAGTCCCTTAAGCAAGCTGGTCCTGGGGCTCTGTTCACAAACACAAACAGACCCCACAGAGCCCCAGGACAGCAACACAATTAGACCCAACCAAATCATGAGAAAACAAAAAGAGAATTACTTGACATATTGGAAAGAATTTACAAACAAAACAGAGCAAACTAGAATGCTATTTGGCTGGAACAGAGTACACAGTGGCAGAATACCTGACCACTGTGACTGACTCAAAATTAAGGAAATCTTTGACTATGTACAGACTCAGTGAGCATAGCCTTGCTATTGAGAAAGGCTGCTGTAGGCAGACCTGGCCCACAGAATGAGGTGGAAACTGAGCTGCACTTCCTAACTTCCTGCCAAATGATTTGTGACCTGTTGCCACAAGAAAAGGGCAACCAGTGAAGAACAAACGACACACAACTAATCTTCTCCTTTCCCCCTTCTGATAACCAGGTGGCGAATCGCATTTCTGCATGTCTGGCAGACATATCAGTGTGGATGACGGATCACCACCTCAAGCTGAACCTCGGCAAGACGGAGCTGCTCTTCCTCCCGGGGAAGGACTGCCTGTTCCATGATCTCGCCATCACTGTTGACAACTCCGTTGTGTCCTCCTCCCAGAGTGCAAAGAGCCTTGGCGTGACCCTGGACAACACCCTATCGTTCTCCGCTAACATCAAGGCGGTGACCCGATCCTGTAGGTTCATGCTCTACAACATTCGGAGAGTACGACCCTGCCTTAAACAGGAAGCGGTACAGGTCCTAATCCAGGCACTTGTCATCTCCCGTCTGGATTACTGCAACTCGCTGTTGGCTGGGTTCCCTGCCTGTGCCATTAAACCCCTACAAGTCATCCAGAATGCCGCAGCCCGTCTGGTGTTCAACCTTCCTAAGTTCTCTCACGTCACCCCGCTCCTCCGCACACTCCACTGGCTTCCAGTTGAAGCTCGCGTCTGCTACAAGACCATGGTGCTTGCCTACGGAGCTGTGAGGGGAACGGCACCTCCGTACCTTCAGGCTCTGATCAGTCCCTACACCCAAACGAGGGCATTGCGTTCATCCACCTCTGGCCTGCTGGCCCCCCTACCTCTGCGGAAGCACAGTTCCCGCTCAGCCCAGTCAAAACTGTTCGCTGCTCTGGCACCCCAATGGTGGAACAAGCTCCCTCACTCACCACCTTCCGGAGACACTTGAAACCCCACCTCTTTAAGGAATACCTGGGATAGGATAAAGTAATCCTTCTACCGTCCCCCCTCCCCCCCCAAAAAAAAATAACATATTGTAAAGTGGTTATCCCACTGGCTATAAGGTGAATGCACCCATTTGTAAGTCGCTCTGGATAAGAGCGTCTGCTAAATGACGTAAATGTAAAAACAAACACCATTTTAAATACAACCTATATTGATATTTTTATTTTCTATTTTTTTGTACTTTAAGTATAATGCACATCATTATAACACTGTATATAGACATAATATGACATTTGGAATGTCTCTATTCTTTTGTGAGTGTAATGTTTACTGTTTTATATTGTTTATTTCACTTTTGTTTATTATCTATGTCACTTGCTTTGGCAATGTTAACATACTTTTCCCATGCCAATAAAGCCCTTAAATTGAATTGAATTGAATTGGAATTGAATTGAAATTAAATTGAATTGAAAGAAAGAGAGAGAGAGGGTGAAAACCCACAGTGTGCCATCACAGCTGCAAGATTTGTGACCTGTTGCCACAAGAAAAGGGCAACCAGTGAAGAACAAACACCATTGTAAATACAACCCATATTTATGTTTATTTATTTTCCCATTTGTACTTTAACTATTTGCACATTGTTACAACACTGTATATATACATAATATGACATTTGAAATGTCTTTATTCTTTTGAAACTTCTGAGTGTAATGTTTACTGTTAATATTTATTGTTTATTTCACTTTTGTTTACTATCTACTTCATTGCATTGGCAAATGTTAACTAACACAAAAAACGTTTCCCATGCCAATAAAGCCCTTAAATTGAAATTGAATGAGGAGAGAGAGGGGAGATAGAGAGAGATCGATAAGAGAGATAGAGAGATAGAGGAGATAGAGTGAGAGAGAGAGATGAGAGAGACGAGCAGAGATGGCTGATAGAGAAGCGATCTGCGCGAGAGAGAGAGAGAGCATAGATCTCTCTCTCTCTCTCTCTCTCTCGAGCTAGAGAGAGAGAGAGAGAGGTCTCTCTCTCTCTCTCTCTCTTTTCTCTCTCTCCTCTCTCTCTTTTTTTTCTCTCTCGCTCTCTCTCTCCTCTCTCTCTCTCTCTCTCTCTCTCCCTCTCTCTGCTCCTCTCTCTCTCTCTCTCTCTCCTCCTCTCCCTCTCCCTCTCCCTCTCCCTCTCCCTCTCCCTCTCCCTCTCCCTCTCCCTCTCCCTCTCCCTCTCCCTCTCCGTTCCCGCTCGTCTCAGAACACACACACACATACAGTGGACTGCTACTTACAGGCGACCTGTACTTCAGTGCTGCTCTGCATGATGGCTCCTACTCTGTTTCTAACGATGCATCTGTAGAAACCAGCATGGGAGCGGTCCAGAGACGGGATCAGGTACCTAATGGATGGACACACACACACACACACATAAACATACACACACACAAACACAAACACATTAACACACACACCCGGTACAGCTATTAGTCATTGTCAATAGTAACTACTGTGAAGGACACATAGGTAGGGCTTTGTCGTCAATGTACAGAATGTAGTGGCTAAGTATCTACTAGTAACTGAAGTTACTGAAGTAAGTAACTGGAGTAAGTAACTGGAGTAAGTACCTACTACTAACTGAAGTAAGTAACTGAAGTAAGTAACTGGAGTAAGTACCTACTACTAACTGAAGTAAGTAACTGAAGTAAGTAACTGAAGTAAGTAACTGGAGTAAGTACCTACTACTAACTGAAGTAAATAACTGAAGTAAGTAACTGAAGTAAGTAACTGGAGTAAGTACCTACTACTAACTGAAGTAAATAACTGAAGTAAGTAAACTGAAGTAAGTAACTGGAGTAAGTACCTACTACTAACTGAAGTAAATAACTGAAGTAAGTAACTGAAGTAAGTAACTGGAGTAAGTACCTACTACTAACTGAAGTAAATAACTGAAGTAAGTAACTGAAGTAAGTAACTGGAGTAAGTACCTACTACTAACTGAAGTAAGTAACTGAAGTAAGTAACTGAAGTAACTGAAGTCTGGTAGATCGATGCATTGCACCCTTTTTGTTTCTAAAGCCTCCTGCATAAACATCCACCGTACCTTACTTAATTGTTAACCTACAGACGTACGAGATACCAGACCCGGTCTCTGGGATGGCTAACTCTGGGAATACCTTCGAGCTCCACTGAGTTAGGTAGATCTGCTTTTCATTTTTTTACACCTTACTTGTGGAATAATCACCAAGGCTCTCTAAAATGGAATGAATTGGTGCCTCTAGGGCAATTCAAAAGGTTGATTGATTACCTTTTTACTGAAAAATATGTTTGTTTTCTATGATTGTGTTTTGCTTTTCATGTATTGATGTGAATATGTATGTGAATAGTGATGTGTATAGTGTACGTATATTGAGGTGCTTTGATGTGTATTGATGTGTATACAGGGATCATCTGTGAAAGAGACCTTGGTCTCAGCATGACTCCCTGTTGAAATAAAATATATAAAACTATACATCCAGGAGTTAACTGCTAATGTCACTTAACAGTTGTCTGTCCTCTCCTACTCTCATCTGGCTTGCCCTCTCCTTGCCCTCGCATGCTCTGTCTCGGTCCACCTTCTCTCTGTGTCTTGTCTGACTCCTCTCTCTCTCTCCTCTCAATCTCTCTCCTCTCCTCGTATCTCTCCTCTCGTCGGTGTCGTCCTCGTCTCTCCTCTCCCTCGTCTCATCGTCCCCAATCTTTCTTTCTTTTCCCTCTCTCCATTGGTACCTATGAATGACTGCAAGCTAAAAGTGCTTGGGTAAATGAACCAGACTTCTCTGCCAGTCAAAAGGACTATTTTGGCGATGAGGTGGGTAGCTAATGGATATAACCTGAGCAGTGCCAGTGGTCATTCACACTTCGGGTCATATGGCCTGAGGACAGCAAGACAGAGTCCAACCCTTTGATTGATAGGAGTCACTAAGCAGCCATTGTTAGACCCACGATCCCTCAGGAGTGGCATCACATTAACACTGGCTCCGTCCCAAATGGCACCCTATTCCCTTTATAGTGCACTATGTTTGACCAAGGCCCGTAGGGAATGAGGTGCCATTTGGGATTGCACCCACTGTCTGTACTGTAGGTTATTCATTACATAACTCCTAGCTCTCCAGACAGAGGGGCATTCATGTTAAATGATGTGTAGGAGTTAAATCCTCTGAGGTTTTAGCTGACTGGCTGGCTGGCTGTGTCCCAGTCATTTAATTGGCCTGGTTAATAAAGCTTCCCAGTGAGAAGTTTCTATCTGTGTGTGTCGCCATGCGGTGCTATTGGAGTGGAGCTGGTTCTGTGTGTTGCTATTGGAGGGATAAACATTCTGTACGTTGCGATTCGAGGGGTGTTAGCTGATTCCCTGCGTTGTTATTGAAACAGACAGCTGATTCTCTGGTTTACTTTATTCCATTCTAGTCTCTTTGATCAGTACTGGTGGTGAATGATTAGCAGGGAGGGGGTCTGACTGACTAACTGACTGACTGACTGACTGCATTGACTGACTGACTGCACTGAAAGACTGACTGCACTGACTGACTGACTGCACTGACTGACTGACTGCACTGACTTACTGACTGCACTGACTTACTGCACTAACTGACTGAATTACTGACTTACTGCACTAACTGACTGACTGACTGACTGACTGACTGACTGACTGACTGACTAACTGACTGACTGACTGACTGATTGACTGACTTAATTACTTACTGCCTGACTGCACTGACTGACTGCATTGACTGACTGACTGCACTGACTGACTGACTGACTGACTTACTGAACTGACTGACTGACTAACTAACTGACTTGGCTGACTGACTGACTGCACTGACTGACCGACTTACTGCACAGACTGACTGACTGCACTGACTGACTGACTGACTGACTTACTGCACTGACTGACTGACTGACTGCACTGACTTACTGACTGACTTACTGACTGACTGCACTGACTTACTGACTGACTGCACTGACTTACTGACTGACTGACTGCACTGACTGACTGACTGACTGACTGACTGACTGACTGACTGCACTGACTGACTGCACTGACTGCACTGACTGACTTTACTGACTGACTGACTGACTGACTGACTGACTGACTGACTGACTGCACTGACTGACTGACTGACTTGACTGACTGACTGCACTGACTGACTGACTGCACTGTCTGACTGACTGACTGCACTGACTGACTGCACTGACTGCACTGACTGACTAACTTACTGCACTGACTGACTGCACTGACTGACTGACTGCACTGACTGACTGACTGCACTGACTTACTGACTGACTGACTGCACTGACTGCACTGACTGACTGCACTGACTGACTGACTGACTGCACTGACTTACTGACTGACTGACTGACTGACTGCACTGACTGACTGACTGACTTGACTGACTGACTGACTGACTGACTGACTGACTGACTGACTGCACTGACTGACTGACTGCACTGACTGACTGACTGACTGACTGACTGACTGACTGACTGCACTGACTGACTGACTGACTGCACTGCACTGCACTGACTTACTACACTGACTGACTGACTGACTGACTGACTTACTTACTTACTTACTGCACTGACTGACTGCACTGACTGACTGACTGACTGACTGACTTACTGCACTGACTGCACTGACTGACTGCCTGACTGCCTGACTGCCTGACTGCCTGACTGACTGACTGCCTGACTGACTGCACTGACTGACTGACTGCACTGACTTACTGACTGCACTGATTTACTGACTGACTGCACTGACTGACTGCACTGACTGACTGCACAGACTGACTGACTGCACTGACTTACCGACTGACTTACTGCACTGACTGACTGACTGACTGACTGACTGACTGCACTGACTTACTGACTGCACTGACTTACTGACTGACTGCACTGACTGACTGCACTGACTGACTGCACAGACTGACTGACTGCACTGACTTACCGACTGACTTACTGCACTGACTGACTGACTGACTGACTGACTGACTGACTGACTGCACAGACTGACTGACTGACTGACTGACTGCACTGACTGACTGACTGACTGACTGACTTACTGCACTGACTGACTGACTGCACTGACTGACTGACTTAATGCACTGACTGACTGACTGACTGACTGACTGACTTACTTCACTGACTGACTGCACTGACTGACTGACTGACTGACTGACTTACTGCACTGACTGGACTGACTAAACTGACTGACTGACTGACTGGCTGTGAACCAGACGTAGCACTAGCACCTTGACATGTGGTAGAGTTATAGAGAGTTACAGAGAGAGTTACAGAGCATTATAGAGAGTTACAGAGAGTTACAGAGAGTAACAGAGAGTTATAGAGAGTTACAGAGAGTTACAGAGAGTTATAGAGAGTTATAGAGAGTTACAGAGAGTTACAGAGTTACATTTTAGTCATTTAGCAGACGCTCTTATCCAGAGCGACTTACAGTTAGTGAGTGCATATATTTTTTTATTTCTTTTTCATACTGGCCCCCTGTGGGAATCGAAACCACAACCCTGGCGTTGCAAACGCCATGCTCTACCAACTGAGCTACATCCCTGCCGGCCATTCCCTCCCCTACCCTGGACGACGCTGGGCCAATTGTGCGCCGCCCCATGGGTCTCCCGGTCGCAGCCGGCTACGACAGAGCCTGGATACGAACCAGGATCTCTAGTGGCACAGCTAGCACAGCGATGCAGTGCCTTTGACCACTGCACCACTCAGGAGTAGAGAGTTAGAGTGAGTTAGAGAGAGAGTTAGAGAAAGAGACAGAGAGAGAGAGAGAGAGAGAGAGAGAGAGAGAGAGAGAGAGAGAGAGAGAGAGAGAGAGGTAGAGAGAGAGAGAGAGACAGAGGGAGAGACAGAGCATTCCCTCCCAAATATGCCCCCCTGGACACAACAATGACAAAACAACCACCAAAAACGGGTCACAGCTCCTGCAGCTCTGTCGCACGCTGGGTCTGTTCCCTATCAAATCTAAAATCTTCAAGAAGACAACCTAAGAAAATTAACAACAATGACAAATGCTTTGATGAAGAATGTAAAAACCTGAGAAAGAAATAGAGAAACCTATAAAACCAAAAACATAGAGACCCAGAAAACCTGATCCTACGCCTTCACTATGGTAAATCACTAAAACAATACAGAAATACATTACGGAAAAAGAAGGAACAGCACGTAAAAAATCAGCTCAATGTAATTGAAGAATCCATAGAATCTAACCACTTCTGGGAACACACTAAACAAACAACAACACAAAGAGTTATCTATCCAAAACGGAGATGTATGGATAAACCACTTCTCCAATCTTTTTGGCTCTATAACATAGAACAAACAGCAAAAACATGATCAAATACAAATTTTAGAATCAACTATTAAAGACTACCAGAACACACTGGATTCTCCAATGACATTGCATGAACTAAAGGACAAAATACAAACCCTCCAACCCAAAAAGGCCTGTGGTGTTGATGGTATCCTCAATGAAATGATAAAATATACAGACCACAAATTCCAATTGGCTATACTTAAACTCTTTAATAATCCTTAGCTTTGGCATCGTCCCCAATATTTGGAACCAAGGACTCATCACCCCAATCCACAAAAGTGGAGACAAATTTGACCCCAATAACTACTGTGGGATATGCGTCAACAGCAACCTAGGATAAATCCTCTGCATTATCATTAACAGCAGGCTCATACATTTCCTCAGTGAAAACAATGTACTGAGCAAATGTCAAATTGGCTTTCCAATTCCATCTAGACACCATTGCCCTAGAGCACACAAAACACTATACGTATCTTGGCCTAAACATCAGCGCCACAGGTAGCTTCCACAAAGCTGTGAACGATCTGGGAGACAAGGCAAGAAGGGCCTTCTACGCCATCAAAAGGAACATATAATTCGACATACCAATTAGGAAATGGCTAAAAATACTTGAATCAGTTATAGAACCCTTTGCCCTTTATGGTTGTGAGGTCTGGGGTCCGCTCACCAACCAATAATTCACAAAATGGGACAAACACCAAATAATGCAGAAAATAACCGTTAAATTCTACAACCACCTAAAAGGAAGCGATTCCCAAACCTTCCATAACAAAGCCATCACCTACAGAGAGATTAACCTGGAGAAGAGTCCACTAAGCAAGCTGGTCCTGGGGATCTGTTCACAAACACAAACAGACCCCACAGAGACCCATGACAGCAGCACAATTAGACCCAACCAAATCATGAGAAAACAAAAAGATAATTACTTGACACATTGGAAACAATTTACAAAAAAACAGAGCAAACTAGAATGCTATTTGGCTCTATACAGAGAGTACACAGTGGCAGAATAACTGACCACTGTGACCCAAAATTAAGGAAAGCTTTGACTATGTACAGACTCAGTGAGCATAGCCTTGCTATTGAGAAAGGCCGCCGTAGGCATACCTGGCTCTCAAGAGAAGACAGGCTATGTGCACACTGCCCACAAAATGAGGTGGAAACTGAGCTGCACTTCCTAACCTCCTGCCAAATGTATGACCATATTAGAGACACATATTTCCCTCAGATTACACGGACCCACAAAGAATTCTAAAACAAATCCAATTTTGATAAACTCCCATGTCTATTGGTTGAAATACCACAGTGTGCAATCACAGCAGCAATATTTGTGACCTGTTGCCACAAGGAAAGGGCAACCAGTGAAGAACAAACACCATTGTAAATACAATGCATATTTATGTTTATTTATTTTCCGTTTGGTACTTGCACATCGTTACAACACTGTATATAGACATAATATGACATTTAAATGTCTCTATTCCTTTGGAACTTTTGTGAGTGTAATGTTTACTGTTAATTTTTTATTGTTTATTTCACTTTTGTTTAATATCTATTTTACCTGCTTTGGCAATGTAAACATGTTTCCCATGCCAATAAAGCCCCTTAAATTGAAATTGAATTAAGAGAGAGAGGGGGAGGGAGGGAGAGAGAGAAAGAGCGAGAGAGAGAGAGCTGAGAGAGAGAGAGCTGAGAGAGAGAGAGAGAGAGAGAGAGAGAGAGAGAGAGAGAGAGAGAGAGAGAGAGAGAGAGAGAGAGAGAGAGAGAGCGAGAGCGAGAGAAGTGCCAGTTGAAGCTGGTCACTAGATTCCATTAACACCAGCTTGGAATGCTCCGGCAGCAATGGAAACACTCTTCTTAAAGTTCATGTTCAGAAAAATACATCTCATTCATTGTTGGTGGAGCGAGAGAGGAACGGAAGAGGAGCAATATCCCACCATTCACCCTGTAGCCGTGACATTGCTGTTGCTATGGTAAACCATGGGTAAAGTAAAGTAGTAACTCAACGAAGTAAACAACATTCACCCTGTAGCCGTGACATTGCTGTTGCTATGGTAAACCATGGGTAAAGTAAAGTAGTAACTCAACGAAGTAAACAACATTCACCCTGTAGCCGTGACATTGCTGTTGCTATGGTAAACCATGGGTAAAGTAAAGTAGTAACTCAACGAAGTAAACAACATTCACCCTGTAGCCGTGACATTGCTGTTGCTATGGTAAACCATGGGTAAAGTAAAGTAGTAACCCAACGAAGTAAACAACATTCACCCTGTAGCCGTGACATTGCTGTTGCTATGGTAAACCATGGGTAAAGTAAAGTAGTAACTCAACGAAGTAAACAACATTCACCCTGTAGCCGTGACATTACTGTTGCTATGGTAAACCATGGGTAAA